AAAAAAAAAAAAAAGAGGATGGAGAACAGAATACAGGACATAGCCCCAGGCCTGGAAAAAGAGACACCTCTGGGCACAGAGCTGCAGTAGAGGATACAAGTGGGTAAACTTGGAGATAGGGCTGGAGAAGCAGGGCAGGGTCCTACCATGGAACCCTGAATACCAAGGCAAGGTGTCATAATTCAGTACCAAACGAGGAGGATATGACAAGAGCTATCTTTCAGAAGATTTTCCAGCAGTAGTTGGGAAGACACTGGACCAGGGACTAGGAAAGAAGAGTTACTATTCATGAAGCTACAAGAGCTCAGGCAGGCCCAGCACCACACTCATTCAAACCATTTCCAATCTCTACTTCCATAACAGCCTTGACTTGTCTCCTACTTGACTGCTTCCTCCATATCTCAAGACACCTCTCTTCAATTCCTTCACTTAAAATCGCTGACTAGAAAGAAAAAATTAATGGGAGGCTGGGGCAGAAGAATCACTTGAACCCGGGAGGCAGAGGTTTTGCAGTGAGCCATGATTGCACCACTGCATTCCAGCCTGGGCAAGAGAGCGAGATTCTGTCGCCAAAAAAAAAAAAAAAAAAAAAAGTGAATATTGTGGACTGATACAACTTTCTGGTTTATAGTCTTTACAACACATATGTTGGTCCCTACTGTGTGCCAGGCTCTACTCTAGGAAACAGGGATGGAGAAGGCAGTTTCCATCCCATGGTGCTTACATTTTGTGAAAGAAACAGATGAAGGACAACAATGTCAGATAAATGCTGTGAAAAAGAAAGAATGGGGCAGAGGGACAGAGCACGTACATATGAGGGGGGCTGCCTGAGCTCAGGTGGGCAAGGGAGGCCTGTCAATGTGGGGAGAAAGCAGTAGCCACATGGTATACATTTTTACAAAGTATACATTTTACATTAAAAGGGAAAAACAGGTTTTGAAGCCACACACAGCTGCATGCCAGCCCTGGCTCTATCATGCAGTGGCTGAGCGACATCTTCCAAATGAATGAATCTTCATGTTTCTTTATCCCCATTTTATAGATAAAGTACTGACACTATTTAATCCTCTCAGAACAGAATCAAGTAATGAATATCAAATACTGTGCACTGTGCCTGGTACTGGATAAGGGATCTGTACATATTAACTACTAATATACTAGATCAGTGATTAAATACATATAGACATTATTTTACTCCTATATCTAAACACTAGATTTAACAAAAACTGTCTGAAATCAGTACCAGTCATAATGCCAAATGCCATAATCCTGAATGTTTTTTAAAAATTATTATTTTTACCAGAATCAGGTGGAATAAATCCTGAATGTTAAAATTCCAAGACTAAAGCCCCAAGTCTAAAAATCCCTAATGTTGAAAATCTCAACCGTTGAAATCCCAAAAGCCAAATTTTGGGGAGGGGGTTTGCATAGTTTGGTTGTACACAATATAGTTGCATCATCCTGGGTGGAACTATGACCTTGCTATTGTTGTTATTTGGAAATTAGGTATGGTTTAGGGAGATGCTTATGGGCACCCAGTTGCCGAGGGTAGATTTGTAGACTTTAGCATCCCAGGGTCTCAGCCTGCAGATGATCTCAGCCACCATAATTATATGAGCCAATTCCCCTAATAAATTCCCTCATATGGCCGGGCACGGTGGCTCACATCTATTATCCCAGCACTTTGGGAGGCTAAGGCAAGCGGATTTTCTGAGATCAGGAGTTTGAGACCAGCCTAACATTGAGAAACTCCGTCTCTACTAAAAATACAAAATTAGTTGGGTGTGGTGTCACATGCCTGTAATCCCAGCTACTAGGGAGGCTGAAGGAGGAGAATCACTTGAACCCTAGAGGCAGAGGTCACAGTGAACAGACATTGCGCCACTGTACTCCAGTCTGGGCGACAGAGTGAAATTCCATCAAAGAAAAAAAAAAAAAATCCCGCCGGGCGCGGTGGCTCACGCCTGTAAACCCAGCACTTTGGGAGGCTGAGGTGGGTGGATCACGAGGTCAAGAGATCAAGACCATCCCGGTCAACATGGTGAAACACCATCTCTACTAAAAATACAAAAAATTAGCTGGGCATGGTGGCGTGTGCCTGTAATCCCAGCTACTCAGGAGGCTGAGGCAGGAGAATTGCCTGAACTCAGGAGGCGGAGGTTGCGGTGAGCTGAGATTGCGCCATGGCACTCCAGCCTGGGTAACAAGAGTGAAACTCCATCTCAAAAAAAAAAAAAAAAAATCCCCTCATATATCTACATACATATCCTATTGGTTCTGTCTCCCTAGAGAACCTTGACTAATACAGATTTGGTGTTGAGGAAGTGATCATTTCTTCTTACTTTATTCTTTACAACACAATTGAAGAGATCTGTGAAACTGTTCCTTCACACAAAGGCTGTGATAAGTGCACAAGGCTACTTAATGGTGAAAGATAAAAGTTTAAAAGCTAATTATTATTGGTGCTGCAAAAGCAGAAAACTGCTTTCACTGCAATGGCCAGGCAATAATCAGACTTTCAAATGGACAGTATATACTTATAAAATTTGTGGATCACAATCACTTTGCAAATAAAAGTTCCTCAAGTGTTTTGAAGATCAAAGAAGTGAAAATGCAGACAAAAAATGCAAGTTATCTCCCCTGCCAAATTATTTGATGGTGTATGACTTCTGCTCTTTCACACATAGTACAAATTTGCTATGCTATGTATTTTATCTTCACATCATTTCTAATACTGGAGGTATAAATTGTGTAGAGACTTTTAGAGAGTTCTAATTAATTCTATGCACTTTTTGACAAACTGAACTCCACAGAAGTGCATTATCACAATGCTGACTTTGTGTATAAGCACTGCCTGTGTACATACAAATATGGAAGCCAGGTGTGGTGGAGCATCCACAGTCCCCGCTAGTAGGGAGGCTGAGGTAGGAGGATCACTTGAGGCCAGGAGTATGAGGCTGAAGTGCACTATGACCATGCCAGTGAATAGTGACTGCACTCTAGCATGGCCAACATAGCTAGACTATCGTCTCTTTAAAAAAAGTTAAAACTGGCTGGGCATGGTGGCTCACGCCTATATTCCCAGCATTTGCGAGGCCAAGGAGGGAGAATCACCTGAGGTCAGGAGTTCAAGATCAGCCTGGCCAACAGGTGAAACTCTACTAAAAATACAAATATTAGCTGGGCATGGTGGTGGGCACCTGTAATCCCAGTTACTTGGGAGGCTGAGACAGGAGAATCGTCTGAACGCTTGAGGTGGAGGTTGCAATGAGCTGAGATTGCGCCACTGCACTCCAGCCTGGACAAGAATAAATGAGATGTCCTTTTTCAACATCTGCATTTGTGAAAGATAAAATTCGACAACATGTCTGCTCTTGAGGCGACTACACATGCAGTGATGATGACCCATCCTGGTTTTTACTGACCTCATCAAAAGACCTAGTTTGTCCATCATGGTATTTCAGAGGACCACAGTTAAAAAATGTTACACCCATGCAACTGTTGTTAGAATACTGAGTGATTACACTTGCAAAATACATTTGTTACTATTTAATTGTATAAAGTGGTATACTAGGCCATTCCTGCACTGTTATAAAGGAATACCTGAGACTGAGTAACTTACAAGAAAAGGGATTTAATTGGCTCACAGCTCTGCAGGCTGTAAAGGAAGCATAGCCGCATCTGCTTCTAGGAGGGCCTCAGGAAGCTTCCAATCATGGCAGAAGGCAAAGCGGGTACACCACGTAATGAGGACGGAGCAAGAGAGAGAGTGCGAGGTGCCAGACATTTAAACAGCCAGATCTTGCCAGAAGTCGCTCACCATCTTGAGGACAGCATCAAGGGATGGTACTAAACCATTCACAAAAAATCCACCCCCATAATTCAATTACATCCTACCAGCCTCCACTTCCAATATTGGGGATTACAATTCAACAGTAGATTTTGGCAGGGACACATATCCAAACTATATTAAGTGACCTATGAAGTGTTGTCGTGTTTTTGTTTCTCAAATAAATGTCCTTTAAAAAATTTAAGTAAGTGTCTTTTCTTTTTCTTTTTTTTTAAAGACGAAGTCTTGCTCTGTTGCCCAGGCAGCGCCATCACAGTTCACTGCAACCTCCACCTCCCAGACTCAAGAGATCCTCTCACCTCAGCCTCCCAAGTAGCTGGACTACAGGTGCATGCTACCTTGCTTATTTTTGTATTTTTTTGTAGAGACAGGGTTTCACCATGTTGCCCAGGCTGACCTTGAACTCCTGGGCTCAAGCAATTTGCCCATCTTGGCCTCCCAAAATACTGAGATTACAGGTGTGAAACCCTGTGTCTGGCCAAACAAGCGTCTTTTTTGTGAGACAGAATCTTGCTCTGTCACCCAGGCTAAAGTAAAGTTCTGCTCACTATAACCTCCACCTCCTACATTCAAGCAAATCTCCCACCTCAGCCTCCCAAGTAGAGGGGACTACAGGCATAGGCCACAATGCCCGGCTAATTTTTATATTTTTAGTAGAGATGGGGTTTTGCCATGTTGGCCAGGCTGGTCTCAAACTCTTGACCTCAATCTGCCCACCTAGGCCTCCCAAAGTGCCGGGATTACAGGTGTTGAGTCACGCACCTGGCCCAGATAAATGTCTTTTAAATAAATTTTTAAGATTATTTTTTCCAGAATTGTATTTTTAGGATTTTGATCTTTTGGCATTTCAGCATGTGGAATTATGGCATCAAGAACTATGCCTTTCAGGCCGAGCACAGAGGCTCATGCCTGTAATCCCAGCACTTTGGGAGGCTGACATGAGGGGGATCATCTGAGGTCAGGAGTTTGAGACCAGCCTGGACAACATGGGGAAACCCTGTCTCTACTAAAAATACAAAAAAATTAGCCAGGCATAGTGGCACACACATGTAATTCCAGCTACTAGGGAGGCTGAGGCAGGAGAATCGCTTGAATCCGAGAGACAGAGGTTGCAGTGAGCCACGATCATACCACTGCACTCCAACCTGGGTGACAGAGAGGAACTCCATCTCAAAACGAAACAAAAAAAGCAACTTTGTCTTTCAGAATTATGGCCTAAATCCATCTGAAACAAACACTCAAGAAATCTTTGGGAGAGCTAACATCTACAAACATAAACTTGGGAAATACTTTATAAAATAGTCTTTAAAAATCACCTTCATCCACACATAAGACAGTTTTAAAAGCTTTTTTTAACTAAAACACTAGATTAACAATCTTGGCATTTTTAAACATATATAATTATTCCCATATATTAACTGTTTCAACAAAAATAACTATTTTTATATAATCATATTAACTCTAGAATAAAAATACTGTTATAGTGAGGTTTTTTTTCAAACATTTAAGAGTCAAATGTTTAACAAAAAATAAAACATTATGAAGGAAGGAAGTACATATTTTAATAAAAGGCTAATAAACTGAATCAGGTCAATGAGAAGTAAAATTTGTTGGTTTATAAAACTAAGGCCTTCAAGTGACAGGGAGTCATAGGAGAAAAAAAAAAATCAAAACTAAGGCTTTATTCATTTATAGGTGGCAAAAGAAAAAATTTCTTATTTCCCTATTCCCTAATGATCTAATGCAAACTAAAGCAGAGAGAATTCATTAGTTCACTCTTCCTTAGACACCAACAGCACCTATTAATTTGCTAATGAAATCAGACACATGACTTCTCCATGATCAATACTGTGACTTTACATCAGTAGAGACACTACTTGAGCTGCACTGTCATTGTCATTGGGCTCCAGGAAGAGAATTTCCTAATGAATCACTAAGAAGCTTCTTCAAGAGATACAGGAGAGGCCAGTATCATATTTTAAAATAAAAAAAAAAGTAGAGATAATGCTTGGTCCATTGAAAAATATTTACTAAACATCTCTAAAAAGGATTACATAATTATCTCAACTACAATAATTAGATGTGAATTTCAATTATTTAGTAATATTTTCAAGGTTTACACTTTAAGTATAGGCATATGCAAAAATGAAAGCATCAATGAAAGTTTTATTTATATAAAAAGATTTCTGTTGGAATGTTAAAAATCTAATATTTTTATTTTGAAAGCAAGTTGATTTTTTTTTTTTTGAGACAGAGTCTCACCCTGTTGCCCAGGCTGGAGTGCAATGGTGTGATCTTGGCTCACTACAACCTCCGCCTCCTGGGTTGAAGCAATTCACCCTGCGCCTCTGTCTCCTGAGTAGCTGGGATTACAGGCGTGTACCACCATGCCCGGCTAATGTATTTTTTTGCAGAGATGATGTTTTTGGCATGTTGGCCAGGCTAGTCTTGAACTCCTGACCTCAAGAGATCCACTGTCTCAGCCTCCCAAAGTGCTGGGATTGTAGGCGTGAGCCACTGTGCCCAGCCAACAAGTTCATTTTTTTTTAAATCCTGAAAACAGTAAACTGGCATTCCTTGAAAAGTTGAACAAAATAAGTTCAGTAGAAACAAGTAATAAATTCATTAATTCAGAAAGAATCCTGAACCATAAACCAAAGGGAAAAAAGTAACTGAAGCTTCCATGGCATATTCCTTTGAAAGCTGGTAGCAAAATTTTATTTCATCTACTGATTCATTCAAAAATATTTGCTAAGCATTAGCTACATACCAAGCACTGTTCTGGATGCCAGAAATATGATGAGGAACAGACAAGTCCTTGCCCTCACAAAGCTGACTATTTTCCTAGGTAGATCCTAGAACAGTACTTCCTGGCTCCACTCCTTTTTCTTTCTATAACACAAAACTAAACTCTTCTTCAAAGGGGCCACAAACTTATCCTGCAAGTTTTATTCCAGCTTTTTTTTTCCACCTCATTTAAATTAAACAGATTCACTCAGGGTACAGGTTGAGAGCATAGAGCCAGGGTCCTGTGGTGTCATAATATATATTGTTTTTTGTCCAGCCCTTGCTAATAACAGTCTTTTGTTACAATGTTGGGTGTGTTTAGGCCTGGGGAAACAATCTCTCACCTGCCCTCCACTAATTCATCTGCCCTAAGGCAGGACTCTCATCAGTCCCCATCTTTCAGATTGTGGCTTTTTTTCTTGAGATGGACTTTCACTCTTGTTACCCAGGCTGGAGTGCAGTGGCGCGATCTCGGCTCACCACAACCTCTACCTCCTGGGTTCAGGCAATTCTCCTGCCTCAGCCTCCTCAGTAGCTGGGATTACAGGCACGTGCCACCATGCCCAGCTAATTTTTTGTATTTTTAGTAGAGACGGGGTTTCACCATGTTGACTAGGATGGTCTCGATCTCTTGACCTCATGATTGTGGCTCTTAAGATCCTTCCCAGAGAGGTTCCTGCCCTATACCCTGGGAGAAGACACGGTGACATCAGGAAACTTCCATAAAAATCCAAGCAGGTCCTTTCTGCTCTGAGATCCCTCTCTTTATAGAAGTCCCCTCTTTCTCTTCTGCCTATTAAACCTCTGCTCCTAAAATCCCCGTGTGTGTCCACGTCCTAAATTTTCCTGGAGCACGACAACGAACCACAGGGTATACACCCCAGACAACGTAACTGCTTCATACTGGGGGCCTCGTACAGGGTATAACATTCACTGAAAGTGTGAATAGAGGAGCAGACTCCAACGCTGTCACTTTATTCTGAGGCTCTCGGCCTCCACTTTAGATCCTTCTCTCTATAGAGAGTGCTGTTTCTCTTTCTCTTTTCTTCTGCCTATTAAACTTCCACTCCTAAATTCAAAACAACAGCAACAAAAACCCAAGAGGAAAACAAGGTTTGGGGAGCTTCTGGGTGCTGAACAAATGGAGGTTCCTGGAGGGCAGTGCCCCTTCCACCAAACATTGCTTTATGCATCTCTTCTACTGTATCCTTTGCAATATCCTTTATAATACACTGGTAAATCTAAGTGTTTCCCGGAGTTCTGTAAGCAAATTAATCAAACTCAAAGAGGGGGCTGTGGGAACCCCAACTAGAAGCCAATTGATCAGAAGTTCTGGAGGCCTGGACTTGTGTGACTAGTTTCTAGGAGTGTGGGGAGCACACAGTCTTGGGGACTGAGCCCCGGACCTGTGCGATCTGACACTATCTCCCGGTAGTCAGTGTAAGAACTCAATTAGAAGACACCCTGATGGTGTTCGCTGCTTGTTGCGTAGGGAATAACCCCCTCACATTTGGCCACAAGTCTTCTGCGTTGAGGATCACTGTAGAATGAGTAGAGGAAAGACATGATTAGAGGAAGAGAGTTTTTCCCGATTCCCAATCCTGGCTCTGCTACTTAATAGTTGGGTGACCTTGGGCAAGTCATTCAATCTCTCTGATTCAGTTTTCTCATCCAAAAAACAGAGGTAATAACACCACTATCTCTTAATTTTTTTGTCAAGTGTTTAGAACAAGGCCTGGCCCTTGGAAAATTTTGCTTATATAAAAATATTCACATTCTTTATCATAAAGTTTTGGGTAAATAAAATATCCTTGCCTACCTGTTTTGGAATCAAAATGGTTTGATGCCAAAATTTCCTATAAATCCATTTTCTTTAAACCAATTGCTAAATTTTACCATCCTTCTTATGTAGACTAGGGTTTTGGCCATGAGAAAACCAGAACAGTAAGAGGCCAAGATGATCAATTCATCTGCTGTTTCAGGTCCTCCCACCTCCTTCCCACCACCATTCCTCCTTAGTCAGAACATTGCCCCCAACCACGTAGTCACACCTCTCTTCACAAAACTGTGTTCCATTTATAAGACTCAGGTGCCTCAGTCTCAGGTTCAAAGCTCATCACCAAGCTATTCCCACCTTGCTTTCACACTGGGGGGNGGCGGTACACACACTCCCTTCTGACCTTCCCCTCCCTGTCCTCTCCAAGCCCTTAGACTAAGAGCCCAGGGTTTGATAGATAATGTGCTACATACTTTTGAGCCTTGGTTCCCAAAAGACTTCTCTTAGGAATGCTCTTTCCCCACTCTTCCACTTGTCTCTCTCTTGTCCATCCTTCAAGGTCTACCCAAATGCTCCCTCCTCTATAGCCTTCTCCAATATTCTTCCCGTACTTGATCACAAGTAACAGCTTCTTCCCTAGTTCTCCCCAACTCTCCAGCTACACCACTATTATTGCCTTATCAATCCTTCACAGGGTTGATCAATGTTAATTATCCATATTGGACTCTCCCACAGACCCTGAACCCTAGGAAAAAGCTAAAGTGTTTTATTTATTTTTGAATTTTTTGTACCTACCATGGCAACTATTTAGCAGCTTGGCTGAACAGAAATTTTTTTCTTATATTTTCTGATGTGTTTCATTCCCATAGGCTTCATTTGGCCTGTGTTCTTTATCTTTAGGGGAAGCCAACTTTGAGCACATGCACTAGCCAATGTAGCAAATTTGTTGTTTTTTTTTTTAAGAGACATTTATAAATTATACAAGCTGCGACGTCCTTCATTTCAACTCTAACTTCTCCTACTGAATATGCTAGAACTTAAATCCACTTCCATAAAGACTTCTTCAACAGGAGAAGATGAATATTGTATTTCTGCTCTATTTAAACTTCTATCTATTAGAAAAAAAAAAGGTAACATTAAGTTCAATGTATAGTGTACCTTTCTATTTACATCTGTCTACCAATGTACAGACTGGTAAATCTGTTTAGGTTCATTTACACTAATTGTATGTTGCATGTATAGGAGCAATCTGGCTGGAATCTGGCAGGCATGTTCTCTATACTTCTGCTATGGAGTAGTAGTTCTATTTTATTGTTCTAAACTCTCCAGGGTTCAGGCACAGTGGCCTCTAATCCCAGCACTCTGGGAGGTCTAGACGGGAAGACTGCTTGAGGCCAGGAATTCAAAATCAGCCTGGTCACCTAGCAAGACCCCCACCTCTATAAAAAATAAAATTAGCAGGGTGTGGTGGCATGTGCCTGTAGTCCCAGATAGGACGCTGAGGCAGGAAGACCATTTGAGCCCAGGGGTTCAAGGCTGCAGTGAGCCATGATCATGTCACCACACTCCAGCCTGGGTGACAGAGCAAGACCCTGTCTCAAAAATTAAAACCCTCCAGGAGAAACACCCAACATTCCTCACAGGGCAGGTAGTTCTCTGGGTTCTTCACCTAAACCACTAAGATTCCATCTGACACTGTCTGCTATGGTTTTCCTGCTTATATTTTCTCCGGATTTTTGCCCCTACTCTCTATTGACTTTACTTACTCTTAGGAGAGCTTTGCAAGTTTTCTATAACAAATCCAAATTCAACTTTACTTTAATAGAATTATGTGAACAGGACATAAAGACATAAAGATTAACAAGGCATAGTGATCACCTAAGAATATACACATTTGCGACGAAACAGACACATTCTATTTTAATTGTAATATATAGCTAGAGATGGGTGGGGAAGAGACAGGGAGGAGGCACGGGTACTAGAAAGCAGAGGCTCAGAGGCAAAATAGTACATTCATTATCAGTGTACTGACAGGCAACAATGCAGATGACGGGGCTATAAAATAAAGCAAAACACAGCCCTGATTATAAGGACTGTAGACACTACTGAAGCAATGTTTGAAAATATTCTGTAAGTCTTTTTTCAGCAAAAACCTTATGCTGATACATCCAAAAGATAAGAGAGATGAGTTGCTCTGGCTAGAGTTGGGAAGAGTATGATTCCTTACTTCTGCCCCAGCCAGGCCTCCTATGCCCCAAAATGCCTCTGCAGACCTGCGGCAGCCCAGCATGGAAGAGATGAGAGCGCCCCTCCCCCAACACTCCCATCTTATCATGCTATTTTGATATAACACTTAGCACACTGCCACCTACCTACACAGCTCGTGCTACATACATATTTTTTAAATAAAATGTGAGGGCTGTGAAACAATTTACAAGTCACTGGTCTAATAAATGGGATTAGTGGAACTGCCAGGCACAAGGCACAAAAAAGTTGTGTCCAAATCACCAGAATCCAAACCTAGACAAAGCATTACAAAGGTCTGACCAGTTTCTCTAAAATCCCAGGAAGTGGAAAGCTCATCTTAACTACTTTCTTTCCCCCTACAATTATTGTTTCCTTAGCTCTATCTGCTTGGCAGAGCAGTTTCTTAAAATCTTTCCTGCTTTCCCTGAAACTTTCTACTCTCCACACTCCCTCCTCCTGCCT